AGCAATAATACTTTTTGTTGAATTCTTGATATTCTTTATCATTGCTTTATGAAAATTAATCTTCTTGTTTTCATGCATCGTTGTAGAATCTTCAATTGCTTTATGAAAATTAATCTTCTTGTTTTCATGCATCGTTGTAGAATCTTCAATCTCTGTCAGTATTATATAATCTTTGATCCTTGTCAATGTTATACTTTCAATCAACCACCCGACCTCTTTTGAGATTGAGCCATCATTTGAAGTTCAAGCTTCGGAACTCTATCTGGATGTCAAATAAACGATAGCGAGGAGTACCTCAATCAGTTTGTTTGAGATGTGAGAATTGAGTAAAGTTAGTTTGAGATCTTGTGGACTTCTGAGATGTAACTTCTATATAAAATGTTTGTTTCCTTGATATTCAAATGTTTAATAACTTTTTTTTCTACTTTTTTTGCGTAGTAATTACTTGATGAAAAATATTAGAATCCTTTGTGAAATCATTGTTAATGTCTTTGATTTCTGATGAAGTGCTATATTCTCTTATTGATTTTGAGTAGACAAAAGATTTGTTGGTAGTAATAGAAAAAATTTCGGAACCCAAAGCAAAAAAAAAAAAAAAAAAAAAAATTTCAAATGAGGGGATATCTTTGATCTAGTAAAGGGTAGTCTTACTTTCATGAAATTATATAGCTCAAAGGAATAGTCAGTGAGCTTGCTACCATTGACCACTTAGCAAGTGGAATTGATTTTTTGACTTATTTATAAATAATATCGAAAGGGATTCTAGAGGTTCCAATTGTCAACAAATTTTGAGCTTGTTTGTCTCCTATTTTGGGAGAAAATATAGAGTTTTGAATAGAAGTGTTTGGAGACTGTGTGGTTGAAATTTAAAATTTTTTTATTGATTTGTGTGTAGAATATTTCATTATGTGAATGTATGATAAAGAATGTTACTGTAACAAACAATTTATTTTGTTAAAGGATAACAAACAGTGGCTTTGTTGGAGTGAAAATTTTAACATTGATTAAAATTTTATTCTCTTCTTTGGGATTAGTGTTAAAATGTTTTTATAATAATTAATAATTAATATTATTTCTCACTTTTTTAAACATGTATCATTATTTTTAATTTTTTGTCACTTTATTAAATAACTTCTAAATCCAAGTTCATATGTTAGTTAATAGAAGTGAAATATAATCACAAAGAGATAACGTGCAAAAGAAAATTTGTATCCCAGGTTATTTGATTATAAATTCATATTCATGTAAAAGAATGGTATTATTTAGGAATTACCAAGAGTGAGGCTGCTCCAAATACATGTTTTGAGAAATTTCTTTCCCAGTTTAAAGAATGATGTAGACATTGTGAATGACAATACCAATGTTCTTGAATCATACATAGTAAAAATATGTTATGAAATGTCTTTACCCTAGCAACAAAAATTTCATTACAAAGTTACGTTGGATTGCCCGTCCCAGCGGAGAGGGATGGGATCCACAAGAAATTTAAATAATGGAAAAAAAACATAAAAAACAAAAAAATGAAGAAAGGAAAATGGAAAGAAACATTAAGGGTTGTTTGAGCCCCATTTTTCTCAAAAAATATATTTGGAAATAGTGTTATGATGGAGAATGTATGGTTAAAAAATAACGAAAAATTTTGGGCTCGTGTGTAATATTATTTTATTGAAAAATATATGGTTGAAATGATACCAAATTACTGTTAAAGAATATATTTTGATGAAAAATGGAACTCAAACAAGGCCTAAGGAAAATTTGCAATCATAAAGGTATAATAATATTTTGTAATTGAAGTAGAATAAGGTCACTTTCCAGACTTTTACACAGTTGTGCTATTCATCCCTTTTTTTTTCTTTTTTTTATCGTCAAATATAAATTACTATGGATCAAAACTCATGTACATGTATACCGAACATACTTGGATAAACAAGAAACAAGGGAAATACAACTATTTCGGACATACCCAGACTAACCAAAAAGAAAAAAAAAAAATTACAAACGATATGCACTATATTCCCAAAGTTAATGATTTAAAATGAATCAAAACATGCGGGTATAAAGCAAACATAATCTTGTACACGTGTGTTTTAATTCGTCTTACAATGCTATCAATATGCGGACTAAGTTCTTCGAAAATCTTTCTATTACGTGCTATCCAAATATGGTAAGCCGTACAAGCAAGTGCAATTCTATTAAATTTACTTTGCCAAAGATGCCCCTCGTGCCTCTATTTTTATCACTTCAAAGCACTCAGAATTGCAGTCATCAATCTTCTAATCCCCATCCACATTTTAATCTTCATCCATATACTAGAGGTGAAAGATGTTGTCTCTTTTCCAAATGTGTCTTACAAAATATATAATTCCTGTCAATGTTGAGATGTAAGTGAGTAGCTTTGATTGGGCACTCAACAATAAAATAAAAGTATGTTTTGGAGTGATAAACAATCTCCAAATATTAAGGAAAATCTGCAATTATAAAGGTATAATAATACTTTTCAAGTGAAGTAGAATAAGGTCACTTTCCAATGAGGACGGGATTTTCTTTTTTAGTGGACTTTTATACACAACTGTGCTATTCACAATCTCCCTTTTTCATTTTTTTTTATTAATAATTTATAATTACTATAGATCAAAACTCATGTACATGTACACAAGACATACTTGAACAAACAAGAAACAAGTGAAATACAACTACTATGGGCATACCTGAACTAACCAAAAAGGAAAAGATGTACAAACGATATGCACTATATTCCCATAGCAAAAGATTCAAAATGAATCAAAACATGCGGGTATAAAGTAAACATAATCTTGTACATGTGTATTTTAATTCATCTTTCAATGCTATCAACATTCGGACTAAGTTCTTCAAAAATCTTTCTATTACGTGTCATCCAAATATAGTAAGCGGTACGAGCAAGGACGATTCTTTTAGGTTTATTTTGCCAAGATGCCCCCCGTGCCTAGTTTTTAATCAACTTCAAAGCACTTAGAATTGTAATCATTAATCTTCTAAATCCCATCCACACTTTAATCTTAATCCATATGCTAGAGGTGAAAGAGCATTGGAAAAATAAACGCTGTGTCTTTTTCAAATGTGTCTCACAAAAAACACAATTCATGTCAATGTTGAGTGAGTAGTTTCGACTGGGCACCCAACCATAAAATAAAAGTATGCTTTGGAGCGATAAATGATCTCCAAACCTCCTTTATCCCGACCCTCCTCTCTCCCTTCGGCCGAAAGTGCTCATAGGCAACCCCCCCCCCCCAAAAAAAAAAAACTGCCCAGCATCGTTCCAACTAGACATCACATTCCTAGCATGTTGGACAGTTCAATCATTTCCAGCAATCGTGTCCCTGATTTCAAGAATTATTTTGAGCAACGGAGAGTTTCTATTCTTTTTGGTTAGTCTGAATATGCCCGAAGTTGTTGTATTTTACTTGTTTCTTGTTTGTCCAGGAATGTCTAGTATACATGTATATGAGTTTTGATTTATAGTAATTTATATTTAATGATAAAAAGGGGGGGGGGGGGGGGGGGGGGCAGC